AGATCTCTCTCTGCTCCACTCTTCTCTCTCTCTCTCGTCTCTCTCTCTCTCTCTCACTCTCTCCTCTCTTCTCTCTCTCTCTCTCTCTCTTCTCTTATCTCTCTCTCTCTCTCTTCTTTTTCTCTCTCTCTCTCTCTCTCTCTCTCATCTCTCTATTCTAGTTCTCGCTTCAGCTCGCCTCGCTCGCTCTCTCTCACTCTCACTCTCTCTCTCTCTCTCTCTCTTCATCTCTCTCTCTCTTCTCTCTCTATTATATTATATTATATATAATATAATAATTACTTATATTTATATTATATATTTATTTTTCTCTCTCTTCTCTTGTCTCTCTTCTCTCTCTCTATCTCTCTCTCTCTTTCTCTGTCGCTCTAGTTCTCTTTCTCTCTCTCTCTCTGTCGCTCTAGTTCTCTCTCTCTCTCTCTCTCGCTTCTCTCTCTCTCTTCTCTCTCTCTCTCTCTTCTCGTCTCTCTGGTCCGCGCTATAGTTCTCTTTCTCTCTCTCTCTCTCTCTGTCGCCGGCTCTAGTTCTCTCTCTCTCTCTCTCCTCTCATCTCTCTCTCTCTCTCTCTCTCTCTTCTCTCTCTCTCTCTCTCTCTCTCTCTGTCTCTTCTCTCTCTATATTCTTGCTCTCTCTTTTATCTCTCTCTCTTCTCTCTCTCTCTGTGTCGCTCTAGTTCCTCTCTCTCTCTCTCGTGGTCTCCTTTTCTCTCTCTTTTTCTTCTTCTCTTTCTCTCTCTCGCTTTCTCTCTCTCTCTCTCTCTTTCTTTTCTCTCTCTCTCTCTCTCTCTTCTCTCTTCTCTCTCTTCTATCTTCTTCGCTGCGCTCTCTGTATCTCTCTATAGTTTTCTCGCTACTCCTCTTTCTACTTTCTCTCCTCTCTATTCTTCTCTATCTTATCTATCTCATCTTTTTCTCTCTCTCTCTCTCTGCTGCGTGGATCGCAGCGTGCTCCACGCGTGCTGTGCAGGGTGAGGCCTGCGGTGTGCCGTGCCGGCGGCTGACGTAGCCGCGGAAACGGCTCATGTTGCGTGGCGGGTCAGTAGCCTGTGGGTTGGTCGTGCGCGGTGTGGGTGCGCGCGTGGGGAGTGGGGCATTGCGGCGCACAGATTGAACACCGGCGGATTGCTGCGTGGCTCTCTCTCCAGATGCAAGCGTCATATTTATGTTTTGCCATGTATTCGGTTTCCATTCTCTTTTCTCTGCTGTCGGATGACATATGGTCCCGAGGGAGGAAAGTGCTCGCGGTGAGGTGGGCGTATTGTGGTTAAAACCTCTGCGGGACGAATCGAGAGACACGTGTGGTCGCAATACATCAACTAGTGGGAGGCTTAATGCGTCAATGCATGCTAATCCAGCAGTCAGCTAAGTTCGTAATTCAATGACTTCGAACTATCCATTATCCAGCTGCGTAATTATTGCCAGCCAAATTTCGCGGTATTTCCTTCGGCGAATAAAGTGTCTGGAGCGTTGTTGAGGCTATTACAAGTCAAACCCGCGCCATGTACTCTGGCTTTGTGTCACCTACTTTATCGTGTCATCCGTTTAATAAATAAAGAGCCTTGATATTCGCATTTTTCTTCTCACTCTGCTTCACTCACTATGGTAGTATATATATAAAGAGTACATAATAGAGGGTAAATACATCTCTATTATGCTACTGCTTGATAGATGTATGGAATTATATTACAACTGTTACAATGTGAAGGTGTAGCGAGTGGAGGAATGTCTGAACCTTTCTGGTCTGTATGGGGATTAGTGAGAAACAGTTATTTAAATGGCAGCTATTAGAGGCACGTGAGTGGCGACACCTATTACGGCACACGCAAACAACTGCAAACACACACACCGAACGGTGGCTCGTCCCACGAGACACCAAACACACACACACACACCACACACACTACAACATCACACCACACACACACAACACCACCACCCACACCACAGACATACACATAAGAGAGATAAGAGTAGTATCGAATGGGAGATGAGCAATTGCGATGCGAGCGGAAGAGCGCAGGATATACTTAAAATATTTTATATACTATATATAGTAGATAGAATAGATTAGATAGATAGTATGATAGATAGATAGATAGGATAGATGAGATAGATAGATAGATAGATAGTAGATAGATAGATAGATAGATAGTATAATAGATGATAGATAGACTAGATAGATCAGATAGATAGATAGATAGATAGATAGATAGCAGATAGAGATAAGATAGCTAGATAGATAGATGATAAGTAGATAGATAGATAGATAGATAGAATAGATAGATAGAGTAGATAGATAGATAGATAGATAGATATATAGATAGATGATAGATATAATAGATAGATAGATAGATATATAGATAGAGAATGTAGAGAGAGGAGGAGAGAGAGAGAGCGGTAGAGATAAGGAGAAACAGATGGGGGAAGAGAGAGAGAGAGGAAGAGATAAGAGAGAGAGAGAGAGAGAGGGAGAGAGAGAGAGAGAAGAAGAGTGAGGTGGGAATGAGAGGAGAGAGTAGAACACGAGTGATTGTAATAGACAGCGATGTTAAGACCTAAGCAATGGAAACTATTTTCTTTCACCTATTCTTGTCGACTGATCATAGGGATTTTCTCTATAACACATCAAATGTAGCACGCACACGAGCGCACGCATTATACGCGCACACGCAGTACACGTGCAACGGCACGCACATACGCGGCACTTAGCAGTACATGCCGCAACGCATATACTCACACTCGTACGGCCGCCACGCACGCATTGCAGCGTACGCATGTTACGCGCGCGTACAACGCCTCCCATTACACGCATCGGGGGACTATACCACGTGACATTCGTAATGGTGATTGATGTACACCTAGTAAGCGCTTTGATCGATGGATATAGTTCAAGATCCCCAGAGCAACGCACTAGAAATGTGGTGCAAACGAGAAACGAGATTTCTATATGAACAAGCGTTTTTTCAATATCCTTTGCTAATCGGCTGTAACTCGGATCGGTAGGAGGTTGCGTAAGAGAGGCGAAACTACCTGCGGTTACGTCAACAATTAATTACGTCGGAACCAGTGCATTTTATTTCGACCTTCGTTATCTCGTACATTTATTTGAGTGACCACGGTTTTCTCATACTTACTGGCAACAACGCTGATTATTGGCGAGTACAGGCAAATGTTAGTTAAACTACAGCTTTTCAAATCAACAGCTAAAACAGACAGCCAGCGGTTTGGCAGAGCTTGCATCAGGGAAGAAGGCAGAGATGGCGGTGTGGCACCTCTCTGGGTTGCCGTGCGTTTCAGACGTTTTGCATGTACGTCGTAGCGTGCGTGCGCGTTGCGTGTGCGTGCCGTGTGTGTCGCTACGTGCTGTTCGTGCGCGCGTCTCTGACCCATAAACAGCATCAACGAGGCCCGCATTCTATCAAAGCCGTATATATAGATTTCTCTCATATTATGCTCTGGTCCTTATCGCGACTTGGCAGGCGCCCGTACGCAGTGGCCTGTGTTCTCCATTCCCGACCTCAGTGTACCTCAGTGTTACTGACTTCAATCACTCACTCGCGCACGAGACACGCAACGCAAGCACGCACGCCACGCACGCACGCGACCACACTCACTCACTCACTCACTCACTCACTCACTCACTCACTCACTCACTCACTCACTCACTCACTCACTCACTCACTCACTCACTCACTCATCCCTCACCCACTTACTGATATTATAGTAATGGCGCAGTACATGCACATGCGATACCTATACAATAATATAATACGATATACCTAGTTCAGTACGAATATAGCACGATATCTTTCTATCGCAATAATGCGATCATAACACCGCTGAGATGCTTAGCCATGTGTTGTGTTACTTACCTCCGGCCTCTATCACGTCTCCTCGCCTCTGTCTACTTCTCGTATGTTCGGAATAACGCTGAAAAGAAACCAGAACGAATTTACTCGCGTATTCGCTGTAGGAAATGGAAATTTACTGCATAGTGTGTATATATGGACGCCCCCGTGCGGGATCATCATAATATTGTTTTGCTGGCGCGTATACGTCAGCAGGGGGTTCCGTATCACTTCGAATGCTCGCTTGTTAATATTCGCGACATCGCGCGGTCGCTCAGACATGCCGGACGAACGAACGAACGCATGTTTTACGATTTTCAATTTTGTTCGCTTAGTTTGCGCGCTAAACATTCCGCGAGCGCTCTTAACCCCGGCAATAAAATGGCACGCAGTCGCGTTTAACGGCGATGTTGGAACGTCCATATCCGTGGCGATCTCTCTCGCTGGGGAAACTCGGCTCTCGGCTGGCTGTAATTGCTTTGCTCAGAACGCGCCTTAATTTCTGGTTATCGAAGCACTCGGCACGAGGAAACCGAATATTAGACGTCGCCGTGGCGTCGGCGAGCGCGCTCGCGACTACAATTTGCGCCGAATGTTGGCGTCGGCAAAAGTATACGCCACCGAAGTGAAATTGTATTCCTCTAGTGCCAAATATAAACAAAGACTAGGTTTTCCGTCGACGCGTGACGTGCGTGCGTGTGCGTGCTTGCGTAGGTGCGTGCATGTGTGTAGGTGTGTGGGTGTATGTGTGCGCGCGTGCGCGTGTGTGTGTGGGGGGAGGGTGCGTGTGTGTGCGTGCGTGCGTGCGTACGTGATTGTGTACGTGCGTGCGTTCGTACGTGCGTGAGACAACAGATACCTGTGAACGCCCCTAAAAATACACTTGTGTGTATTTACAATGTGTATTACAATTTTTGTATTTACAATTGTATATTATTGTGTGATAATTATATTTCACACCGAGGCGCCAAAAACCCCGCTAATGAATTTTCACCCCGCGCCGCAGGTATCGGTGATTCCATTCAATAAGGTGTTTGGTGATTCCATCGACCGCGTCTTAATTGCTAAAAGACAGAAACGATTATACTGTGCAACAAAAACTCGGGCACAATACATGGCGGATGTGACCTAATGTAACGTAGTGCTCAGTAGAGACAGCATGCTGTGTACACGTATGTTTTACGTGAGCCTTTATTTCAACTATATTTGAAATCTTTTTCATTTTATATACTGTATAATTTTTGACAACATTATTATTATTATTATTATTATTGTTATTATGATTATTACGTCATCTTACGTTGAACGCTGACATACTCGGTATTTCGAACGCTGACTCCGGTCAAATTGTAAACATGCCATGACTTAATACAGGTGAGTTTTCTTTAGTCCGCGTAATTTGCCATTGTCCGACTAAACCCAGGTGAAATAGAGAGAGACATGGTCGAGTCTGGTTGCAATATGTGGGCACACATCTTGGAGGCGGGGGAGAGAAGAGGGAGCGTTAGGATTTCTCTGATAAGTCGCGATCGTACGTGATCGTGCCATACCGATGCCAGAAATATCAACATAATAATTAAACGTAGTATACAGTAATAGTATAGTATAGTATAGTATAGCATAGTATAGCGTTATGTAGCTATAGATATAGGCTATGTATAGCCTATGCAGTATAGCAATAGCATAGCAGTAGGCCATAGGCATAGCGATAGCATAGCATAGTATAGGTATCAGTTATAGTATAGGTATAGTATAGTAGTAGGGTATATGCATAGCATAGGCATAGCATGCGATAGCATAGATAGCATATAGCATAGCATGCATAGCATAGCATAGCATAGCCATACATAGCATTAGATGCATAGGCATAGCATAAGCATGCATAGCATAGCATAGCATAGCATAGGTTGTTATAGTATAAGTATAGTTAGTATGCTACTACCGTATAGTATGTATAGTATAGTACTTAGTAAGTATAGTATAGGTATAGGTATCAGTATAGCTATAGCTATAGCTATAGTATAGTATAGTATTCATGGGTTCGATTCGTTACGCGGGCCATAAACTTGGCCATGAGGGATGAATCCGGGATCTCTGTAGCATCTGTCTGACATCGATCCATTAGTATGTCAATACTCGACATCCAAGCAGCTGTCATAATGCCGACTAGCATGCAGTCTTAGCTCGTGACTATGTACCTATTGTACCTATGCACCTATGTAACCGTATTGGACATACTGGCGATATATAGCCGCTTAAATAACAGCATGATCGACTGATCTAGACTGACTGAGCGGATCTTGAGGCCCGTTGTCAGGAACGAAATTCCCTCTTAACATTTGTCTTAAATATAACTTTTTGCTTCTCATAGACCGTTGGCGGAAACGTAGTAAGGTTACGTTGGTTTTTTCACACGCGGTGTATGGAGGTCCGGTCTACGAGAAAAAGTTAACGTTGAGACTATTTTTCAGACTAATTTTGTTTCTGACAACGAGCGCCAGAGAAGCGTCAACTGCATGTAGTTCCGTGGGGATCGAAACGGATCTTCAGGATGTCTATAACTATTAGGACTTACGATAACGTATATTAGCGATATAGTCCATATAGTAAGATATTTATAATACGATATAATATAGGATCTACCTATATATACTATAGATATACTTATATATATATATATGTAGATATTTATCAGTCTATCAGGGGAGAGTGTACATTATGCAGAGTCTCATATTATGACACTACATAAAAGTATAACAGCAAGGGCGTAGCTACGGAGATAAGGCCGCCTATGGCGTGCACTGAAAATGCGCCCCTTGTCCAAACATCTGCCACCCATCTTGTAGATCGCTTTTATATAGTATATAACAGGACAACGTAAGCCAGCAAAAAGGTGTGTGGGGGGGTGGCCGTTCTTAGTGCTACAGGCCGTAGACTTTCATACTATAAAATAACGGTGGGATATAACTTAGGCGACTATGCGCGGCGCGCTAAGCACAAGCGCTAACTCGCGCTAAACCACAAAGAGAACTACAATTAATAAGGCAACAATTAGGCCAACTACGGCAACTACAGGCAAATTAGGCCCAATTAAGGCAATTAAGCCAACTACATTAATAAGGCAACAATTTAATGGTGCTCAACGGTGCGATTTTCCCAGCAGCGTTTGAAATAGTATTTTTTAGACATGGAAACTAATGGTCTTTGAGCTTACACTTTTCGCTCACATGAACTGACCAATAGACCCGATTTCTCCGGAGAAAAATCAGTTTAAAATCTCAAATCTCATTTAGCTGTCATTGCATTTGTAGAACATGATTAAACAAATCTTAGTGACGGTACATTGACCCGGTTTAAACGCCGACTAATTTTATGGAAAATAAATAAAAACTCTTTACACTAATACTCAAATTAATTATTTCTCACTTTACTTTCTTCACACTACTGCGGGAATCATACATAGACGTGTACTGGAATTAATTTACGTCCTGATAATTATGAGTATTAATTTCTGCGGAAACTAGTTTTTTATTGTGCATATAGACGCAGTGAATTAGAGAGGTTTTCTCT